ATAGTAATCCAATGAAGTTCATTGTGTCTATAAGATAAATCTTTTAAAAAATTCTTAGTTAACAAAGTGTCTAGTAAATAAGAAAAAAAAATCAAGATTATTAAAGTAATTGTTAGTTGCAGCCCTAATAAATATTGATAAAAAAACAGGAGACCAAAAACAGGTTTCTGAGAGCTTTAAGTAGTTTTTGCACAATATCCAGAAGCAAAAACAGCAACTTTATCATCTTAAATCAAGAGCTTTTCCTCTCTCTTGCACATAAATGATAAAAAACTGTCTCCATTTATCATCTAACGGTTAAAATTTGAACTTCCATTGACCTTATGTACCGCACAGGAGCCTTAACAACTCTTATGAATTTGGCCTTATCAGACAAAACAAGTGGCTTTAAAAAATAAAATAAAATAAAAATGTTGTAATGTTTTCTAAAACGGGCACTAATAAATCCAATTATGACAGATGGAATACATTAAAGAAGTAAAATTCAACTCATTAACACAGAAGTTTCTATTTTGATCCATCAGATCCCTGCAGTTTTTAAAACGAACAAAAGTGAAAGAATTTGAAGAGTATTTTTTAGTCCAAGGTCTGAATACCTTTGGTTTTACACAATGGGGAATTGTTTTGCTGCAGGAGGCAGGGGGCATAAATTGCACTGACAGTCCCGGCAGGCATGTCTGTTCCTTTTTTTTTTTTTTTAGAAAACAAGAGGGGAAAAAACAGCAGCACAATTTCAACCTGGCTGCGAATCACGTAGCATCTCTAGCTGCCACGGGGAAACGTCTCCTGACACTACCTGATGAGTTAAGGCCTAACCGACCGCTGCGGCCGGCCACGGCAGCCGCTCAGCAAAGATTACAGACGGCTGACAGACGGAGAGAGGAAAAACAGACACAAGACGAAGGATCGAGGCTATAGGAGGAGGGACACGCACACACACAAACACACACAGGTGAAGAAGGATTAGGAGGTAAATACCAGAGCAGGTGAAGGGATGTTTCCTTTGGGGCTGGTGACTATGCTGTTTTTGGTGCTGTTTGTCTGGGGCTGTGCAGGAAAGGAGAGGAAAAAGGTAGGAGACACAACAAGAGTGTTAACAACAGCAAGAGTGTGTCCATGCATGTGCATTTGTGCGCTTTTATTTGTACAGAGCTTTTTAACTTGATGCTTATGAGGTGGAAGGTTTTTGAATCAAATTTGTTCTACTTTAAAGGACCTGTGACATCAAATTTTTGTGATAAATGTGAACGCGTTTTTGGAAAGAGAACATTGAAAACGTTTTGCAAAACAAATTTCACACTGTTGAGATGAACAGTTGTTGAGATATTTGCATGTGAAGAAACAGGAAGTGATGTCAAAGGGGAATGTCTGCACATAAACAGAGTGATGCTACAATAATTAGAGAAAAATCTGATGTTTCTTTAGATTATTATGAGTCACTCTCAGAGTTGGAGAATATTTTAAATAAGATTGTTTCAATAAACAAAGACTAGAGAGTTTCTTTTCTTAAAGAGTTCCCCTTTGATGTCACTTCCTGTCTCACTTTGAGCCAAATTCAGGAGAAAATATGCCAGTTATGAAACAAAATAGGTAAAAATCATGTGTATTATGCTAATTTTCTTGAATATAAATATGCTCCCTTTGACTTTTTTATTTGAAGGATAAGCATGTCACAGGCCCTTTAAAAGCCAAACAAGCTGTTGGGTGTTGATTTTTTTGTTTTGTTTTCCCTTTTGGAAATTTGCCCTGTAATGAAAATCCCTATAATAAGAAATTGAAACAACCTCACAAGCATAGCAAGATAAAAATAGGTGCACATCATCACATCATGAACAGCGTGGGGTCCAGAGGGTGGGAGGCAGCTGTGGTGATAAAAATTAAACATTATCTTAAAGGTTAAACTGTGTTATTATAAGTGTTATTACATGGAGGGGTGTGTGTGTGACATCATCTCATTGTCAACAGTGATGGTCCCTGTTCAGGATGACACACAGCAACCGCTCACCCACGCCTTCTGGCCGTAATGAACCGCCAAAATAAAATGCTTGTTTGAAGACGAGGCATCAAAGAGCAGCCGGCTCGCCATATTTTTGCATCGAATCTACATTAAATTTGTGGGGAAAATAAATAAACTTGCAAATTGCTAAGTGGGGCAGAACACCGGGTGTGGAAGTGAATCATCAAAGTGAGTCACTTCTAGAAGTCGGCAACCGTTACATAAAAGCTTACAACGATTCCTGCTCATCAGCGTGAGGTCAGGAGAAGTCACAGATTACTTAATGCCTCCGACGAGTGCGACGTAGGTGTGATGATTTGAAAAAGGGATGAGGAGAAATCTGCTGAAAAAGGTGAGGAAAAAATCCACTCGACTCGCATTCTAATCAAGTTGACAATGCTCTCACAACACAAGTATTTTCATCTCCAAATGAGGGCTGCACACTTTTAGAAAAAACCTGCAGTGCGCCATTATACTGTTTAATATCACTGTTCTTAAACGGTTGGGCTGCGGGACCAAACATCATACTTTAACAAAACAAGTCGAGGAAAAATTTTAAAACTTAAAAATAAGGTACCTGAGACACGGTTCCTACAGCTTAAGATGAGCTGAATTTAAAATGTTTTAGGACATTTTAGGACTTTTTAATACCACTTTAAGAAATTTAAGACCGACTTCACAATAAACACAAATGTAAAAAAAAACAAGTGGCAATTTTACCCAAATATTTAGCTGCGAAAGTAATTCTGTAAATTATTTAGAAAATTAAATATATTACCAACGTTATGAACAATGTATCGGCATTAACATCGATATCGGCCGATGTGGGTCATTTTTTAGCATTTCGATATCGGTCCGATAAGTAAAACTGGGTCTATTTTAACGTCCGATATTGATTTCCTACTCTTTAAGCTTTGTGATTCTGTTTTTGGAGGGGAAATGTTTGGTCGCGTGGTATCTGCTTGATCATGATAGCGATGTCATGTCAACTTTATGGTCATTTTTTTACGTTATCGAAAAACACCGTAAATGCATTTGTGCGTCTATGCATATAAATAATTTATGTGTTTGTCTAATATTGGTAAATATTAGTTATCAGCCATAACAGCAATATTGGATATTGATATCACCTGAAATCTTCATATCGATGAATCCCCAACAAGATATCCGAAAGGCTGATTTAAGATATTTTAAGGCTAATTAAGGCCTTATTTTTGGATTGATGATTTCAATGCCTTTAAGGACTTTACATCATTAGATCTACAGGAAGCCTGTGAGAATTACAAAACAAAACCATGTGTGGGCAGAGTCCTCTGCATTGACCAAATATTTTATTTTAGCATGCAGAACACAAATCCGTGGTTAGATCTGTCATGATAACAAATTTTGCTGGACGATAAATTGTCTTAGAAATTATTGCGATAAACGATAATATCGTTTGGACTCCATTTTAAACTTAAACATTTTAAACAGGCCTACCCACGGTACTTAGCATGTGATAGTCTGTGATTTACTGAAGTTCAAGCAGTCTTTCATGCAAAATATTGCAATACTTTTTCAATTAGTTGTGCAGATCTGACTTCAACATCTACTGTCAAGAAATTCTAATAATCAAATCAATGATAAAGTATCTGTTTATGGTTTCTGACCTAAAGGATAAAAAAGAAGTCAGGTTTTGTGTCTGATGTGTGGTTAATATTTAAAACAGAGCATGGCATTTATAAGCACCTGAACTCAGTCAGGAGAGGAGAGGATAGCAGGAGAGGAAAGGTCAGACACATGGGCATAAAAAGAGCAAAAACAGAGCAGCCATAAAACAGCCGACACATAAATTTACACTCAAATATCCACACTGACAGACATCCATCCAGTTTTCATCAATGCACACTTAAACATGTAAAAGTGTGAACTTGTTTGATGTATTAAAGGCTTTAACATTTCCATCCTGTATTTTTGATGCAAGAATCTTCTTTGATAAACTTCTTTATGGTGGAAAAGGGACACGAAGGCAGCAGTTTTAAACATAATGACAGCAAACTTATGTTAGGAAAGCAAGAGGTCATACAATGAGAAAATAAATAACATAAAAGAAAAGGTGGGTAAAATCCCCAATTTGTTTCCCATGTTGGAATGAAGAGCGGTGTAAAAACCAATGAAACCGTAAAAACATCCAAAAGAAATTAAGAAAATAGATCAGGGAGGAAAAAAGAGCAACAAATTAAAAGTTTAAAAACCTTCCAGCTCAAGTCTTCATTTTTATCCAAATACACACAGTTTTATTTGTATAAAGGTTTGAACCTGAGACATGTGGTGCAGCTTTCGGTTAGCTGTACGATAATTATCCCAAAATCAAAATAGATAAAACTTAACTTGCTGCCTTTTTCAATTTCCTCATGATAAATGGCACCTGATGCATTTCAGAACATTATAAATAAATAAAGTAAAAGAGTACTGACACTAACTAAAAACAGAATACAGCTGAAGGAAAGATGAATGAAAAAGATGAGTGTTACCAAATGAACAAAAGAACCAAAAAAAAAGGGGAAGTGAGTGGACAAACGTTGAGTTAGCATGCTCACCATGTACTGGACAGTTGAGCTGGACTTGCGTTTCTGTCCTCGAGCAATTGATGAGATGAAGTTATTGATGGGTGTGAAGATGGAGGAGGGATCAGGAGAAAATAAAACAATCAATGATAACAAGTGAATATGTCGGCACAAAGAGCACAAGTGTCCCCACAAAACTAAGATGTTCACTTTGATGATCGATGGAAGAGAGACTGACTGGACAAGGAAGAAGAGAGTGGGTCAGGTGGATCAGAGAAAAGAGATTTTGAAGCGTTTGAAGCAGATGGAGAGACTAAAGATGCTGAAATGGACGTCATCAAGCAGAAAATATGAGCAGATCATTAAAACACTCACTCTGTTACTTAAAGGAAATTAAGAGATGAGAAGCAAAAAGGCTTCATAATAAGTCAAAGGCTGTGTCCAAATTCTGGTGCTGGGTCCATCAAAGGACTTGGCCTACCCAGTCTAGGTGCTAAACAGAAGCAAAAATAAATAAAAATGAGCAAAATATCAATATATTAATATTATTATCACAAAACAACAAAATTAGCTTAAAGGCAATATTTGAAGAACCAAGGAACTCGCTGTAGGTGCACATTTATTAGCATTAATTATAGCATTAACAACACAACTGCTTAAAACTTTTAATTTCTATACCACCAGATTTTTATTTAAAACTGTGCTCCTTTCTCTCACTTCGTCCACCATTACGAGCAGGAAAAAAATTACTGTTCGGCCCGTAATGCATTATGGCAGAGATTCTTAACCCATGGGCCGTGGCCCACCTTGAGGGCCTCAAAAGAACAATAGTTTTTAACTTTGGGTCGCAGAGGGCCGTGGGACCGCATTGATTTTGAATAAGGTGCAATACACTTTCTCACCACGAGTAGCGGTAGTGCGCCACTCAGATGTTTAACAACTTTTTTAATATGTAGAAGAAGAACCTTAGAAACCTGCCAAGAATGGAAACCTTTTTAAAATAAAAAATAGAAGCAAAAATGAAGGCAACCAGTCAAAAAAAAAGGCCAAAGTTTGTCACTAAAATGAAGAGCAGCCTCTGGTTCTACCATGCAATACTTTAAAAGTTTTAAAAAAGCTATATTTTCATTTGCACTTTATCAAATTTATTTTTAGTTTTTTTATTTGAAAAATTTACATGGAACATTTTGAATGTATTTATTTTATGACCACAATTTTATTTATTGAATTGCCTATTTTTGTTATAGCTTATGTTAAAAAAATATTGTGCTGATAAGTCTGAGTGGTATGTTTGTATTTGTTCAAATAAATGTTATGGGCAGGTTACAATATAAAAAAATGTTTGCCATAATCATGTCTTGTGATTATTTGACAGGAGTTTTACTTTTAAACTGTAAGTGTATTTAATTTAGTTATTGTTATGGATTAATTATGTATATCTGTTCTACCTTGACACTGTCCAGTAATCATCTCATGATAACTAGTTTCGGCTGTTTTAATCTATCGGCCCAGACTTCAAGACTCCAGCAATGCATGACCTCTTTTATTTTGATTAGGTGTTTCCGGGCTGACAGTCCTGTCATTGGTTAGATGGTTCACAGTTGGCGAACTGTGATTGGTTGTAAGCATGTTACAGGATGTTATATTATTGGCTGCTCTGCGCTGACGAGCCAGCCACAACTTGACGGACTTCTCTGATTGGCTTCTGCTCTGTTGTTGCTCKAATTAAATCATTTGACGACCATACACGCAGACTTTCTGTGCATTTATTCCAACGTGTTTCTGCATTCTTGGTAAATCGTGCCACCACAATTTTGGCGTTGTCGTTATCGGAGCTCCAAGGACCGGAGTTTGCCCGCAGCGACCGACTTTTTCGGACGACCACTGGACAATGGGAAAAGAAGGCTTTTGCTTTTTCAGCTTCTGAGAAAGCTGACCTGTTTTCCTCTGCTGATCGTGCTCTAACATTTTCAGTAGCACCTTTTGCAAAAAGCTACGGCTATTTTCGGCCCACCACACACTGAAATTCTAATTGTTAGACGCTCGTCTGGTCGCTCCTGCGGTTGTTGATTTTAGCCGAGGTAGATTTCGGGAGCGTTTTATTCCAAATCGAGTCAAAACAGGGAGCTTAGCTTTCTGTTTTGTGGTAGCCAAGAGGACATTGTTTGTCTTGGTGAGTGTAGGCAGTTTAGGCATGATTAAACTGCTGAGGGAAAATTTAATTTTCCGTTTTTGTTTCTGTTGAGGAGGCACAGTTGGCTAAAAGTCATTTTAAAGGCGGCCGCCCAATTTTCATCATAAGAAAATTGCATACGGTAATGCAATGGGCACGAGTTTGTACAATGGATCTAGGTTGATTCTGTTGTTCAGCCAATGAATGCGACAGGCGGGCCTTTGAGCACAGGCGATGGTAAACAAATACGGCGCTGGAAGCCGTGAAAGTGTCTGCGGGTATCGAGTTCATAAATTAGCTTTCCCGGACGGTGAGGTTTGGACTTTTAAGTTTTTTAAATTTCGAAATGTTTTTCTTCATCGGTTCTTCTGATGTGTAATGGTGCGTTCACACCGAACGCGATTTCAGCGTCAAAATCGCAGCCAACGCTGAAGTTTGAAGCTTGTGCAC